CGCTGCCGCCAAAGAAGCGTCGTTTCCTCAGCGGTTCGTCCGATTGGTCTTCAATTTGTGAGATCGCCGTCGAGAAGGAGTTCCCGAACGGAAGGGCCACTCGATTGCGGCCATTGGTCTGACCCTTCACTCCCTTCGCCGCCAAACTGTCACCAAAACAAGACATCAAATGAGACAACAATTGACAATTGGTTCACATGTGGTGGCAATACTTGGGTTCCCTTCCAGTGATCTTTTTGATGGATTCGTCGACATCTTTCAGACTCTTCTTCGCCTCCAAGAACTCTGTCTCGAGATTCGCGAAAACGTTAAACACTTTTGCCGTCATTTTGTGGTAATGTTGAGTGATTTCTTTGATTCACACTTTAGTCCCGTTTATAGATAATAGTAATTATGGTTCAAATGAACGCAAAATTCATGCAATCATTGATTCATGTCTTAAGCACATCTTGTGGTCAACGGATTAACTGTAAGTTTTTGTTTATCTCATCGACGGTTCAATAAAGCGAGTCATTAATAGAGTGCAGTATTTGTAGCAACTTTGAAAACTCCCCGTTTATGACTCAATGCATACATATTATGATAATACCTGACACATACAGTGCCCCCAAATAACAGCATATATGAGCGGATAATTAGTGCATGATTCATAAATAACGCTCAACCAAAACAAAGTGATTGATTGAGCGCTCATTGTGTTTGGCATTGAATGGCAGTAATAATCGACACGTATTTGACTCCCAATGCAAATGCAATCTATATTTGGGATGAATTCATGTAAATATTGATACGTTTATGACATTTGAAATGCTATTTGTATTGCATTCACAACACAATTACAATACTATTCACTCAATCAGTGATTACAATCGCTAACCAAATGAGTATTTGTGTGAAAATCTGTCAATATTTAGTCGTTTTATGCGTCAATTCATTGAAACAATAGATTGTGCGACAAATGAGTGGTTAATGTTTGCTATGAATTGATATTACGATTGAATGGCAATTGTAGTCATATATTGACTACCATTTGATTGACTCATTGAAAGGTAAATGATATGACAATTGAAATACACTTTGAAATGAATATTCAATCAGTTTTGTCATTATTATAGCATTTGATGCCATCATTGGTTGCAATGAACACAAGTTGTGGTGAATTAGGTCTTCGGATAGCATTGTGTGATCTGATTGAGAGGCTCAAGAGATGTGAGCAGAAGTGCTCATATCTGGAGGAATGCAGACATGAGCTGATCCGGGAAGTGATGCGCCTTAAGATACAAAACCAGTCGCTTATTGCCAACTCTGCCAACACATCCAACGCCTATCCTATCACTGATACCAATCACTTGGTTCTGAGTCCCATCCATGGGTTTAACACTAATAATAACAATAATGTGATGATTGGATCAGTTAATGGTCGTGAAGTGGTGGCCAATAAAGATATGAACAAAAGCCGTGCATATGATTTGATTGGATCCGATTGTGACAATCAAGACGAGAATTGGCAGCAAATAACTGTCCGACTCTTGCAGGACATGAGGCGTGATATGGCGGCCAATGGACACCAACTCAAAGGCCATGATATCATCGATAAGATTGTGGCAAACGATATGCAAAGCAATACTAATCGACATAACGACACAATTATTACAATCAATGACTCATTGACTCAAATGAACGACAATTTAATTGAAAGCA